AAAAAAGACACCGATCTGCCCAAGTTGCGCACTTCCAGCAAGACCGCCCGATCACAAGACCAGATCGGACCGATCCCAAGGCAAAAACGACGCAAGACAACTATTTTCTGAGTGAAGAATTCCGCACAGCAAAGACCCCGATCCCGAACACAAATCGAGATCGGTATGATCCAAGATCAAGACCGCAACATCTCCCAATAGAGATCGCCGCTACTCAAGATCAGGATCGCAGAACCCCTGTTCGTGGTGTGAAGATTTCCACACCGGAAGCGAACTCTCAACCCCAAACCCTCAGCGGGATCGACATCTTCCAAGGCCTTTACAAAGAGGTCAAGCCAGCCCAACCGACGGGTACACAAGGTAAGCACAAGGCTATACAACAAGGCACGGATCAGAGTACCCCCTCCGTGAGTCGGCAAGTCTGGGCAAGTGGAAGATCGACCCTCACACAAGCGATTTTGTGAGATCGACTTCACCACACGTGTCATACATGGATTTTATTGTTTTAGTTTGATCGATCTTGAATACATGTTTCCAAATTATCAGTACCAACTGCCCACTTTTAATGGTTTCCCTGCAGTATGTTGTAGCACAACTTATGGATCTCGATCCTAACGCTCGTTTCTAACCAATGGTATGGTGGCTTTCATCGCAGATCGTGTACATCGTACAAATATTAAATTAAAATATACATCCACACGGAATCGGTCCTGCGCTATTTTGATTGCGAAATGTAGCCTCTTTGCTTTCATTTATGATTCTTCTGATATAATTCTCGTTTATGCTGCAATCATGAGGTCGTTACTTGTATCGACATGAGATTATGTGCCGTCGTAATTTGCAGTTTGAACTTTTAATCAGTTAAAGCAAATTATGTAATCTGAATGAATCCTGCCTCTACATTGATACGGATCGTCTCACTGTAAACCAATCCTTTAAATTCTCATTTTTATGTATCTCTCTGCTACGGCTTGCCCAATTCACATGGGATCTAAATTTTCGATTGTGTGCCCAAAAATATCTCATGTACACTAATTATTTTTACTTAAAGGATCGCGGTCGCTACAAAATATAAATCATAGTATTATCGATTTTTTTTACTGCTGCCTGTACCCTGTCCGCGGAATTGACTGAACCAAAATGGCACCGTCCCGTAATACAATCAACATTTATCGACATAACGTTGCACACTTCGATTTATATTTCTCTTCAATAAAGTTTAGTCCAATAAGATGGCATATTCTGCCGAGTACAGAAAACGCCTATTAAACTCGTACGATAATTTAGTAAGGATTAAAGCTATGTTATCTCTAACACCACCAAGCGAATCATACCTAAACGATCGTCCGTTCTTTGGTAGAACGAGGACACACAATAACAGCTCAATGTCATTTATGTTATAGTCCAGTGCGATCAAATCTTTAGTCCTTGCTTCCTCCAGCAGCCCGTATTTTTTCTCCATAGACGTATCAGTAAACCCATTGTACTTGCTGAACTGCCTTCTCGTGTGCCTTAAGGTAATAAAATTCTTTTCACGGCCTACATCTTGATCTCATCGATACACACTATCCTACTTCTACTCGCATATGTATCAATAATTTATGTATCCGAATGAGCTCTATCAAGTTCACAATTTTTTTTAGGTACGATAAACAATCTGGAAACCTCTCTATTCTAGGCTTACTCGCCAACCGTTATGTGGTCTGATTGTACTTCCGCTTTATACGATAAAAAACCGTGGTTCAGCCTATCTTAGAGTTCCTCGATCACTTGACATCTCATGAATTTTATAGCCGACCCATTACAATCAATTATAATTTGCATTTATATATTTATCAATTTAAAGTCTCTACATATGATGACGCGTCTCCTAGCTTGGTCTCCCCGTATTTCGAAATTCTGTAATATCCTCGATATCCTGCATCGTCTCCAGTCAGGACTGAAGCGATATAAAAACCAGTGACTACAATTATCGAGCTCGGAGGTGTCTACATAATAGCGATATAAGATCCTCTGTATCCGTGTTGACCCTTTTTTTCAAATGGCTTTTAAAGGCTTTTCATACCTTTCTACTATTGTTGGCACCATGCTCGGAATCTGCATGAGTTGTTTTGAGGAGTGATCACGACCTGGACTACATCAAAATCTATGCTTGGATTAGTGTTCACCCAGGTCGTGTTATGCATGTAATCGTTAATTTTGCACACTTGTAAATTTCCAACGTCCAATTTAATATTTAATGTGACCCTTCCATTTTATCTTCATTTGAGACCCGAATAATGCATTGACCGAGTAAAAACTTTGCTTACTTTTTAATTTAACAGGACACAGCAGACATCAAGAATGCGAAGGAGCGCGAAAATCTTAAAAAAATCGTTGAACGATCTTATTTATTTTTATGGTTTATTTTAGTTAAATACACGGAACAGTATACGCTATTATGATATTATAGCAAAGGTGCCCACATTCCCACTTACCGGTATACATCACGTTTGCTGGGGATGACTGAAATGGAAATGTATGAGATTTGGGACATTGCGATCTATGTCGATATCAAAGTGAATGCAAATAATTTATTAATTAAAGTAAACCTGCATCAATTTATAAAGACTATAAATTGGATTCGGAGATTGTTTCTTTTTCTCGGCAAATTATACCTTCCGTATTGCGACGTATTCAGATTCGAAGTCACGTGCATAATCGTCCTCAAGACTAAAATTATGAGCTATGTTGTTCTTAAAAACATAACGTTGATTGCGATCGTACCCACTTCGACGGCTGCAATCTTGTTTATACTTGGCATTTTGAAAGCGTATAACCAATTACTAACGTGACTGATGGTTTGATATTTGCTTTACTCATTTCATGTAGTATAAATGGATATTTTGCAAATCCTCTATAAACCAACTACATTCATATAATTTTTCAAAAAAATGTTGCGATTGCAACGTAATTTTATCCAGTGACTTGAGAATGTTTCTATATGTATCCAGCCTCGTAAATGAACTTCTATGATCCAGACAATCTCCCTTACTACACCCCTAATACTACTCCATACGTATCTATTGTGTTTTTTAAATCAAGCAATTTTTGGTATCATAGTATTTGCCCATTTGGCTTTGTACATTTGTTAAGACACCAAAGAAGCAGATACATGCAAGCCGTCTTTTGGAATTTATAAAACTGACACAGGAAAATATTAATTAAATTTAAAGAGACAAAGTTAATTTATAGAGGCAAAATAGTGTGATTTAAGCCTAGAGATGCGTCCAATTTAAGATATAAGAACGACCTAATACAGGCAATTAAGAAATCTGGGTACAAATAACGGTGTTTGCGCTTCTAAGCTCTTGGTTAAGTCCTCACACTTGACAACTGGTGGCTTAAACACTTCGCAATCGACCTAGGCGTCAAAACTTTTATACCTGATGGAATTTCGTGGGTAAAGTTCTCGGCTTGTGGCTACTGGAAACGTATACGACTAACAGGAGCTAAATGAGCGCAGATTAAGCTTTAAATTTAGGTGCATTATTCAATTAGGCTTCAAAAAGTGAGTTTTAGCTTACTATTCAGAAATAGGACGCCTACGTCGAAATGGAGGGAGCATTAGCCAGCGTATTCCACAAACTACATATGTTACACACGTTTAGCCGTTTTACATAACTATGTGAAGAGGTACAAGATAGAGTTGGATCTAATATAAAAATATAAGATAAAGTCTATGTTCCGGTACGGTTCTAATGATCATTGAATTAATCCGCGGCCTACAAATCAATAAGTGGTGACGATCCCTGAGCGTCCCACATTTTTCAGTAGTCATCTTTATACAGCCTTACAGGTTATTCATAATTAGCCACTGGTAACCATACAGGGTGTTTTGGCCTAAAACGTAAACGCAACCTCATAAACAAACCTGAGTGCTTGATGATCTTAATGAATCATTCCGTTAAGCTACGCCATTTCTTCAACTTAAGTTCTACTTGCCATTATTTTTAACACAACCTCAATGCCTTTTCGTATCTTGTAACTGATCACTAAATCGCGGCTTGGATCAATCATCAGTTGTGTCATCTGGCTCACCCAAAAGTTAGCAATGGGCATTTGGATCTATCTAATATTCTTCTTCACTACAAAAGACGAGTCTGATTTTGATGTTGCTAGGAAAACAATTACTGGCTGATAGTGATCCTTCGACCAATTATGCTAGCGTTGCTCAAATTTAGGCTCAGATGACCGCGTTATTTAAACAATCGAGGTTTATCCTCCAACATCAGTATTACCGAATGAACCGCATGCTGCGAGATGTAATGCTTATCGTTTCTAATGAGGAGATTGTTGACTGTCGTCGAATTTCTACTAGTATTAATAGTTATAATCGGTTCAATCTGAACCGCCTGATCAGCTCAGTATTTACGACGTAGTTCTTACGGTAATTACCATAGTTTTTTAGACGCGTAGGATGATGAGACAGTTCACATGATTTATATGTACACCACATATAAACCATGTAGTAAGTAGTAAGCCCCGATAATCAATCACTTTCTAGTCTTCCAACTAGTGAGCAAGTGTCGTCTAATCTTGACCCCATTCGGTCTATCCGCTCCCTTTGCTTCGCTCCGCCCTCTACCATGCAACAGGTTATGAGCCCGAGCGCCATGTCGTCCACCACCAACGCATCCTCCTTTATCGATAAATTTAGGGAAGACAACTGTTCGACTTGGAGTCGGTACAGGCGCGGCGTGTATTTGACGAAGTCCGTCTGGTTTGTCGTAAATTGCGAAACGACTCCGACCTTTACCGACACGCGAGCGTCCGATGACTACGTCAATGCGAGCAACATCGCGTTTAATATGATGTTGCTACACATGGATGCGGATCACCACCATGTGTTTGACAATCGCGGGGAAGCGTGGGTCGCGTAGTCACGCCTGAAGATACTCTATTATGAGTCACAGAAGGCAGGAGGCATCGAACTCGAGCGACGACTTTTCAGCATCAAGATGGCTGAAGGCGCGAACGTCATGAACCACTGCAACGAGGTCCTCAACATCTCCGCCAAGCTTAGAGGTATCGGTGCGAAGATGGAAGACAAAGATGTTGCAATCTGTCTGCTGCTCACTCTTCCAAAGAGCGATGAAAATGTGGTGCTCAACATGGAAATGAGCAGCGCCGAGCTTCGTACCCATGATGTGGTGAGAGTGCTGACGAATGAGCACGCCAAGCGTCAAGAAGACAAAACGATAACATACAGTGAAAGCTAAAGATGCAAGCAAGTCATTCAGCACCGAGCGTTAGCCTTACCAATGCAAGTATTGCGGTAAGGTGGGCACACGGTGGGTCGTTTCTGGACAAAGCAGAAGAACGAAGGTCGAGAAGCACGACGCGGCGGCAATGGTTGTGGACGCGGGGTTAATAACGTCCAGTGGGGACAATATGATGAAGGCAACGGCTACGATCAAGTGGCGTTTGCTGTCTCGTTCGAATGTGGAGTTTCGACGAGCAAGGACGTGTCTGGAATGTGGGCCGTCGACAGTGGTGCAACGCACCACATTTGCCACGACAAAATTAAGTTGCAGGTTTGGCAGAGCGCAATGAGGGCGAACTATTGGTGGCCATCAAGGGTGTGGGACCATCGTGGAAAAGTTGGTTCTGCCCAACGGTGAAGAGCGCTAGATCGAGATCAAGAACACGTTATATGATCCAAATATGAGCAAGAACCTGCTTTCGGTGCCACAGATCAACAGGCATGGCAAGTTCCAAGTCATGTTTAACGGGTTCACGATGTATGTGACTCTCAAGAACTCACAGCAAGTGATGGCGACAGCGGATCTCGTGGATGGACTTTGCTGGATTCACACGGCTCAGAGATCAGCAAATGTGGCAACAAGTGGAAACAGTTGTTCTGATCCACATGCGCGAATGGGTCACGCTCCATTTGACGTACTTCGCAAGATGATCACGACCAACATTATCAAGGGTGTGCGAGTCCCTCTCAAGTCGGATGGAGCAACTACATTTCGAGGGTGATAACAGAGGGAAATGGTCCGAAAACCATTCGCAAGCAACCGCGACAAGCGTAACTACGATACGTTCGAGCTTCTTCATCTGGACATCTGTGGGCCAATGGAAATCAATTCGCTCGGTGGCAGCAGATATCTGCTACTGATCGTAGAAGAAGCCAGTGGATGTATGAAGGGCTTAGTTTACGAGTGAATTCCGAGAGTGAAGACTACATCCGTAAGTACATCACTATGGTACGGACGCAGTTCAGTAAGAAGGTCAAGTTTGTGCGACACGACGGAGCCTGCGAGCTTGCAACCAATTTGCTTCAAATGTTCTACGAAGACGAAGGCATTGAAGAGCAGACTACGGTGCCATATGCACATCAAAACAACGGAAAAGCAGAGCGTGACATTAGGACTATCGTCAGGATCGGCCACAGCATGTTTCATCATGCCAAACTGGACAAGTGTTTCCGGGCTGAAGCAGCGATGACGGCCATCTACGTCGAAAATCAACTGCCTTCAGATACAGGTCGTACACAAGACTCCGATTTAGCTCTTCTACAACTTGAAAGCAAGCGTCAAGCACATGCGAGAATTTGGGTGCCAGGCTTACATATTGACGCCAGAGGAGAATCGAATGTAGTGAGATAAAAAGGCTTGCGCTGGCATATTCGTGGGCTACACAGAAGTATCCAAGATTTTTCGAGTTTATGACATCAAGGCGGGGCAGGGGGTTATCAGTCGCGATGTCAACTTCCACATGTCCACCTTAGGCTTCCGCCACCGATCACCGACGAAGATGCCGATGACCTGGACTTCACATTACTTGACCTTAATAATGAAGAGCCGCGACAGATGGAATAAAAGCCAACAGGAAAGCGCAAGAGCCGCATCAATAATGAAAATGCGGCTGATCCACGACCGCGTGCAGTGCGTCAACGGCCTGGACTAGAAGAGTCAAGCGCACCGGACAGCAACTCGTCATGCCAAAAAGAAGAAAAAGAAACGAAGGATTCGATGGATCGACTCCGCCTGCGTTTTGGCGTGCGAGTGCGAATGACATTAAAACAGCAGCAATTTTATCGGAGCTGTCAACATTTGAGGCAGTCGTGAGCGGCCCTGACCAAGTGCTCTAGCGAAAAGCCATTCATGCGGAAATCAAGTCAATGCGACTTCGCAACGGGTTTCGTGCAGCCAAGCTGCCCAACGGACAATGCGCCATTGGCACAAAGTGGGTGTTCAAGATGTGGCTATAAGAGGATTTATAAATCGAGTTGTACAAGTCGCGCCTTCTGGCCAAAGGGCTCAAACAGAAGTACGACATTGACTACACGAAAACGGTCTCGCCAGTAGTTAAGTATGTGACGCTACGCGTGATCTTTGCAATTACCATGCAATTTGAATGGACCCTCGACCAGCCTGATATGGTGACGGCTTTCGTGTATGGTGTCATGAAGGAACAAGTGTTCTGTGTGATTTCTGAAAGTGTTGAAATTGATAGTGCGTTTGACTGCCTGGGATTGGTGAAGGCAATTTACGGCCTTGTGCAAGCGTCGCGCGTGTGGAACGAGACGTTCAACGAGTTTTTGTGCTCCACCAGATTTAATTGCCGGGCTTCGTCCCATGTCTTTACATCAAGATCGTGGAAGACCAATGTTTACTGGTGCTGGTCTATGTTGATGATGTGCTGGTTTCCGGAAGCTCACTAAAGCTAATTACATAAACCAAGGACGACCAGAAGACACGCTTCGAGATGACAGACAGTGGCAAGTGTGCATTCGTTAATGAAGCTAAACTTTGGATGGCGCAGACGGAAGCGTGAAGATGTGTCAGCGCAAATTTGTGGATGTTATCCTCAAACGTTTAGGCATGAGGAATTGCGAGTCCGTGGCAAGTCCAGTATGTAACGGGGCACCCTGAAGCTTGTACTGGTGACAGTACAAGCTACTTATTCTGATGACAGAATAAGGCGGTGCCTCGTAACTTCACGTACACTCGTACGTGCAGAGGAAGACGGTAAGAAGAAGCGAGTACTTGGTTAAAGTAAAAAGTAGAACAGTATTTATAATAGTTAATGTCTGTTAATAAACCACTATCCTCATCTAACTATGTCTAAATACAAATGTGTAAATCAGTTATCTGCTCACCACTCATTGCGTGCGTCTGTCGTGGCGTGTCTTCGTTGGTTGATACAATGGCCTATATCAACCAATTAGGAACTACTCGTAAGTGTTGCAGAATATCTGTCCTTATGACAATATTCTGAGAATATAACTCTTATAGTTATATTCTATTAACAATTTCTTATAAATTGTTGTGTAACGATTCACCCCGTTACATCACCCCTCCTTAACCATCAGTCGCTTTAGTGACTGATTGACTAAATGGATACTCGTCCCAAATCATTTGGGACAGGGTTTGCACTTGTTGGTCCGCGTCCACTTTCCAACAATTCATCGCATGGTAAACAAGCCCATGCGATGCGCGAGCAAGGCCGCCGAGAGCGCGTCTGCACGTCTCTGTGCGGACGCCGAAGCAGAAACCACAGCAACAGATGTCTCATCGGTTGCTGAAGCGACCCAACCTGTGTCACTTGGTGATGCAGGCGCTGGTCATGAAGACACTCATTTCTTCACAGAGTATGAGCTCGGTGTCTCATACTCTCCTGATACGGAAGACGGATCCGTATCTACGGCGATTGAATCCAAGCCGCCTGCCAAGCGTGGCATGGACGATGCTTTGCGTCGCAGCATCTTTGGTTCATCTGATGAATTAGATGAACCATCGCCAAAGCGAAGGCGCTCGAGGTCGCGAGACTCGGGCGCTAACAGTGGTGTCGGTTCTTCTATGGACACCACTTCGCAACGAGGTGCCAGTACTTCTGTCGGCACATCGCAGGAAGAGCGGGACCGCAATGTCTTGCGTCTCGCTCCCGAGAAGAAGGCATGGATGCCTCCCAAATCCGTCATGGATCACTTGTCGGCGACGACGATTGATCGTTATCGAACACGATTGTTCGATTCGTCAAGGATCCATCACCTTGAACCCCAGCGCGAAAAACTATCGCGCTGAAAACGTATTCTTCATCGATGCTTTCTTTAGACATCGATGGTACAGTGGGAATCAAAAGTGTGATGGTCCCCCACTACTTCAAGCGTGGAACGCCTACATCCATAACCTTGAGGATGTAGGTCGTGACGCTTGGAACGACAAACTTATCAAAGCTCGTGATAAGTTTGAAAAGCGAACCCCGACAGGTGCACGCTACAAGCTGCATCGTCTGTCAAGGGAGAAGGGATTACCCTGCCTCTCATGGGGAGACTCGTGCCCATGTTGTGTGAACAACTCTGCACGAGCACTTAAGGAGGCTTACCTCCTTACCAGCCCGTGGTGGCGCGTACGTATCTCTACTGAGATGTACGAAGGGATTGACAACCTGAAATCCCTCTACGACCGTGCCGGGAAGACTTTTTCCGGCGGTCCTTCTGCGGCACAGGATGTGCCGCGTCTTACTGCTCAACCAGACCCAGTACGTCAATCATCAGTTGGGAGCGGGGCTCCCAAGTATCCCAGGACGGGGGATAGCCGCGCCACCGGACGAGATAACTCGTCCGACGTCCGTTCACGTCGCGGTGGTTCAACAGCTGCTCAACTAGATAGCGCTGGCCACCGCGAGAGTCCTCTAAAGGAGGTGGAGGAAGAGGAAAGACGCTCTCCACACGATCATGGGGATCCGTGTGTTCCCGAGAGCTTCTTTGATCGCGTAAAGCAAGGGTTACGCAACGATCTCGAACATGAGCGGGACAGGCGTCTCCAAATGGCGGACACTGTCTTGAAGCATCGAGCTGAGTTTGCCTTTGCTCAGCTTGAGAACGAGAGATCTCTGACATCTCTTCGTGACGAGCTAAGGGTAGCTCGTGGGATTGTTGATCGGTCTCGGGATGAGATAACTGCTCTTCAGACCCTTGTCGATGCCCACCATCGGAATCACAAGGCTCTCTGCGAGATGCTTGAGCGCAAGGGCGTTCTTCATCGGAAGAAGCAGCGTACTGATGGTACGGCTTAAGCCGACCAACGTAAAACGTGGGATGCGTTCGCATCTTACGTGGCAACTCGATCGTGTATGCATTGCCTAGGCGGTGCAATACACGAAAAGGGCCAATGTACTTGGGTAGTAGTTTACTGCTACCCAAGTTAGTCACTACATGCTTTGGTAGATTAACCGTAGACAGTAGGACTAAGTCACCTTTATTAAATAAAAGAGTGTTTGCCCTTCCATTCTTTTCAGCGTTTTGATTTTGCTTATCCACCGCTTCGGCGATGGAATTTTGCACAAAACGGACTATCGTTTCACGAGCCAGTATGAACTCATCTGAAGACTCGTTAGCTTCAGTGCGCTGTGAGTGCACTGCAGCAACATCAACCTTTTCTTCAGTGAGGGCTTCCGCACTCTCACTGGCATCATCTTCTTCGATATCGATGTTATCGATATCGGCATCAAACGCAATAACCTCTTCGTCAGAGCGTGATGCGCGTGAACCAAATCGGTTTTTGCTCGCGCGAGTCCCTCCCCCCCTTAAACCAGAGTTACACTATAGTAAGGTGGGTACACGCGGATGGCGTAAGCCATTCACGTAAAACGGTGTATGTGTCGTGGACGCATGCACCGAGTTGTTAATGGCAAACTCTACCACTGGCAAAAACTCACTCCAACTCTTAAAGGAGTGTACGTATCCTCGAAGTATCTCTTCAAGGACACGATTGGCACGTTCCGTCTGACCATCTGACTCTGGATGATCAGATGTAGACATCTTCAAGCGTGTTCCGATTGATTTGAACACGGAACGCCAGAAATCAGCTGTGAAGCGTGGATCTCTGTCTGATACGAGTACACGGGGCAACCCATGAAGTCGGAAGATGGTGTCAATAAAGACACAAGCACAGCCACTTGCCGTGATTGTCTCTGGTACAGCCACTAGGTGTACCATTTTGCTGAATCTGTCAACAAATACGAGAATACCC